TTAGTGAATAAGTAATCATAACCCTATCTACAAGTACATTTATGAAGACTTTCTCTTCTTGGTTCTTTTATTTTGTTAGCCACCGTTTGAAGCTGAGAACGAAGAAGATTTGTTTGACGCCATTAAAAAAGACGATGTTTTATACCCTGTGTGGCTGACTAGGGAAGCTGTATCGGTACTCAAAGGGGTAAGATTTTTGTATACACTAATATCGCTGCTAAATATTAAACTGGTTGATARACTTTAATTATCACGCTAAAWTGTCATTTTCAAATACTAGCTTGATAAATACGAAAAAGAAATAAAATGTGGAATACACCTTTTCAGTTGCTCTTAGGCCTCGACAGCGTGTTAAATATCCCTTTGAATCTGTGATGCTGGAGATTATAAGACTTACAGCCGAATAAAGTACAGAATCAAATGACCATCTTTGTTTACAAAAGTTTGTTTTATTAGAAGTATTTAGTTCTCATTTAGTTTTGCTTTGTTTTGTCAGTTCATGACAAAAAATCACACCAGGCGCCTAGGCTGTGGACCCATGGGCGAGCAAAGCATTCGAGAACATCAGTTTTTTAGAACAATTAACTGGGAAAAACTGGAAGCAAGACAGATCACACCGCCATTCAAACCCAAGATTGTAAGTACTTATTTAGTAATTTAGTAATTTAATAACTTTCAACTTCTATATTTTGTGAGAATATCATGAACTAAAATTCAATTAGAATCACAGTGAAAACGCTTTTCCAGGCATTTCTAAATAAAGACGAAATGTTCGACGAGAACCTCGAGAGGGTTTTAGCTGTTACAAACATCCATATTGRTGTTGTTTAAAGTGGAAGTACTTTCTTCGTTGACTCTGCTTTGATGTCTTTTTCTTGAWTTTTACTTGARTTTTGGCTGATTAAAGCGTTTGTAATTTCTTTAGYATTAKATGAATCCCTCGTGGATGTGCTTGAGTTGTCTTCGACTTGAGTTCCWACATTACTCTGTTCRTCTCGTTCCCGGATGATTGCTAAGACAGAGTCGTTTTCTGCTCGGTGCAAAAAGGTTTTTCCGTCGCTAACATCTCGTGCGTATTCGTGTCCCTTGTGTAATTCCGAGTGAACTTGATCCGCCATTTGTTTGTTGAAATGATACATGGCGACGGTGGACGATCGCGCGCTTTTTAATGCCTCAAAACTACGATCAACTATCAAACAACGATGCGATGGGTTTTCCTCGGCATCTGGGTCGTCATTTTTCTTGTGGTTATCCATGTTCAAAGTGCGTCTTTGATCCGCAATGTAATATWCTAARTTAATGTCCTTCTGTAGTGCGACGTCATTTTTTATTTTTGACGTCACAATTGGCAAGACGCGCACGCGTGGTCATTTTCGCGGGCTTTTKCGAAAGATCACTAAAAAATATATTAGATTTGGCAATCCAGGYTCACTCACTTTGTGAAATACTGCAGCTCGAAAGTTAAACAAAATACTCATGATATCAAAAAGATAGTTTTTAAGACCTGCTAAAACTATTCTTGCATGATAATATTGTATCATTGCCATAATTGCATTTAACGTGAGCGGTGCCTTTTTAATATATACGTTATCCCATTCATGAATAGCTTGGCGGATTTCCATTCAAAGCATATAGTAGTTATGATACCCTTGCTATGCTTAAAATTCATGTCATCGTGTTTTTTTTTAGAAATCAAGAACAGACGTTGATAACTTCGATAGGGACTTTACTCGAGAAGAACCAAGGTTGACGCCGGTGGAAAAGGAGGTGATAGCAAATATCGACCAGAAAGACTTCAGAGGATTCTCTTATGTCAACCCTAATTTCGTGTGACACCAAATTTCGTGAATAATTGTCATCGTGTACATATATGGTCATAAAGAGAATCACGTGACCGCTATATTSTTATATAGCCAATAGCGTAGATTTGTCACGAAGTGACTTGATGCGTGATTTCCATAATTGGTCATGATACCATTGCGTGACCATCGTGACAAGACGAACTGATAAGATTGCGTTATCAAGAGGTAACTATCGTTGCCATAAATGGCTATATTMAACTAGATAGGGAATCGATAATATTGCGTGACAGTTCACGTGATCAGACATAATTGATCATGTAATCAGCCATATGGCCTAATATGGTATCAATCCTGCATTTGTGACCTCGAATTGACTTCCAATGTTACTAAAATGATCAAGAAACAGCAATAATTGCTCCTTGAGCCAAAAAATTTAACAAAGTGCTAATTTTTAAGAATAGAAAAGCTTTGCTTTAGAATATGTTAGGTTGTAAACTATTTCATTGCGTTAATCACATTTTTTATTCCAAAGTTTCTTTTTTATTCTTAAAACGAACAAACATGAATATATCATTATGTGGGTTACCTGTGTTACCCTAAATATATACCTAGTCCTTCTCGTCCACAGGTAGCCATATTAGAGAGAAGTCGCTTGASGAAGGTTAGGGCCTTTAGTAGTGGTTTGGTAATTACTTTATTTTCATCAAAACARAAAGAGCACGTTCAAGAAAAGCTCTAGTTTTGTTCCGCAATGTTGATATAGGTGCCGTTGCTAAGGGCCCATAGCTACCGAGTCATGTGACCTGTATTTTTTAAACACATGTATATAATTAGCCATCTAAAATATTATTTTACTTTTTGATCATTTAACGTCTAAATTCCCTAGCATAATATAAGTAACCAAGTATTTTTAGCAAAGAAATAGTCTAAATATAAAGCAAAATCATTATCACTTCCGTAACGGAAATGACGTAGCTCCTCGACATGACGTCATAGCTTTTAGTTTTATCGCCGTTTACAGAGTATTCTCAATGTCGCCTCGATTACAAAAAGCCGAGATAATAACTTTTTAGCTTATTTTACTCTAGTGTTTTAYCATATCCGTGAAACAGAGTCAGTATTACAATACAGTCGCCATCTTGAATTTTGTTGAAATTATGGGATATCCATGGGACAGATGTGCAGATTCTTAATAGAATTGTACTGATACTCTTGGTTTTGTAATCACAAGATTTAGTCTAAAACCTAACCTAACAATAGAACTGCTTTACCAAAAAGCAGGTTTCGATTGGTGCTGTATTACTGGTCTATCCCATAGTTACTTGCCGTTGAAAACGCGATGATTCAAGAACCAGGCGATGCCGTCAAATAAAATTTTTGTAACTGAGTAGTTCTAGTATACGCTAGAATAGTAACAACATCAAGGTGCCCCTAGACTGAGAGCCAARCTCTTTCGTTTTCAAATCCTTCAAGGAAAAGGCAACATAAGAGTTTGACTCTACTTCCTAAGTCTAGTGTCCATACGATCATCCCAATCGCCCCAAACGCGTATGGGACGATTCGAGTGATGATATCAGTGGACACTAGACAGAAGGGCACACTATCTYATGTAAACGGGTCTTAAGAAAATTCTATTTTTTGTTAGCAAATTCCGTTTCACGGGTTGATTGACACCAAACTTAATTCGAATTCGAACAAACTTAATTTACAGCCGTTTGAATAATACCTGGAGCGCCTAAAGTATGTCTGAAATGGTCGTAGCGACGTAACCATAAAAGCTCTGTATATAATAACATAATATTCACGAGAAACCATGAACCAGTCAGTCTTCCTTCAAAATGTCCTCTTATTCAATTACTATTATTTTTTAATTCTTACATTATTTTTACCAAAATTTATGATCACAAAAACGCTTTAAGCATTCCAGACATATTTCAGACGCTGACGGTTCTGTTCAAGTGTAATGCCTCCCGAAGTTACGAGAACTACGTAACAGGCTCATGTTCAGTCTGTATGATGTCATTAAATTTTGAACAAAAAATTAGTCTATTATCTTGAAAGCAATTTCTAAAATCGACTCTCAAAGCTCGGTAGTGGGGCTGAAAGCGATAATAGAAGGGGTGGGGTCTGCTAAAGTGTGGGGGATACTGCAGGGAGGCTACTTTGTTAGTTAGTATTGGATACCAGTGGCGCCGACATCGACCATGTTAACCCAACCATCAGTTTATCCCAACCTTAACTTTTCCTATTTCTTTTCTTTTATTGTACTTTGAGTACTCGTTTCTACAGCTCACGACCCATATTGAAATGCAGCAGAGACGTGACAGRTATATAGCTTAATAGCTCGCATAGTCGTACCTAGAGCGGATTTCRTATGAGTGGGACACCGTTACCGCACGGTTACCGGACCTGGCCTTCACAATTTTGGTGAACCAATGGGGCACTAGAATTTGGTTACAGTACGAYTACGGTCACAGTACAGTACCGCCCGTTTCCCACTCATACGAAATCCGCTCTAGTGAGTAACTCTTAAGATTGCGCTGGGAAATTC